GTTTTCCGTGTCATGGCCGACACCGTCGGACGTGAGGGAGAGGGGGGGGGGGCGGGCGGCGAGACAAGGTTACAGAGCGTTGGGTAGCTTTCTTTTGTGGTGGGACGGGCGTTATGATAGTCCATGAAGGGTATACACAACGCGTGTACCGGTGGGCCCCTTCCTTCACTCTTCAAAGGTGCCCACCGATGTGCCGTGCGGGGTGTGAACGCGTGTTGCTGCGGATCCTATCTTGTTCGGCGGTAGATTGATCGGGCGACAAAGCCGAGGCCGCTGCAGCACGCAAGAAGCACCTGCAGCATCAGCAGCAGCAGCAGCAGCTGCCGCTTCCGGTGTTCTTTCAGCACTACAACCGGAATTCTTCGCTACAGAAGATTCTTCTTTTATTGGGACACAGATTTCATCGGAAACAGCGTTTGTTGTGTTGGTGTGGTTCGACGTCATCACTGCTGTGGGCTGAGTTATCCCAGGAATAAATGCCCATGTGGCAATAGCCGCCCAACACTGCGCTTGTATTCCTGTATCGCTAAGCCATCTCCAAACGCTGAAACTCGGGGATACCGCAACCCCGCTTGCGTGACGAAAAATTCGATAGAAGCTCTGCTGACGTGTAGCATCAACTGGGTTCGTGCCCTGGGTTTCTCGTCGTCGACCCTCTTTTTGCTCCCTCCTCCCGGAGCAGTTGCTGTTCGACAACTTGTACCGCAATCCACCCACGCCAAGTCGGAGAAGAGCGAAGCAGGTTCTCCAAGCGGACACCAGGGTGAGATGTTGTGTTACTGTGATATTGTGTTGTTGTTGTTGTTGTTGTTGTTGTTGTTGTTGTTGTTGTTGTTGTATTTGTGGCCATATTGCCTCCGACAGCGAGGGAAAAATGCACACCCAGTAGCCGGAACAAAACTAACTGCCAAACAACCAGAACAGTCCGATTTTAGCTGCAAGTCTACCCCCATAGCCCGCGCCGGTACCTTCTCCCTCGCGTAACCTTGCGCGTGTTTGGGGATGGATTCGCTCCCCTTCACCCGGCCATGCTTGGGGCCGAAAATGTCGTGCCGCCGCCCCTCTCTCCCCCTCTCTTCGCCAATCCCACGATTTCCATAAACGCATCCGTCGATTGACCTACTGTTATTTGTCAGGCGACCTGCACGTTCGCGCCGGAGATAAACGAGTGCTCACGAAGGCTAGCGGAGGCTCAGGAGGCACGCCGAGACCTTCTCGAGTTCGTCAGGGCCGGCTCCGAGAGCGACGGTCGCGGTGGTGGCGCGGAAGGGAAGGGGGGGAGCAAGAGAGAGGACACAGAGGCGGCGGCGACAAGGGCTGGCGGGGGGGCGGGGGCGGCAAGGTCAAAGGTCATAGTCAAGTCGCACCGGCTGCACGCCGAGCACGCCGATAACGAGCAGCGCAGGGAGAGGAGGCGGAAGGTAGGCGGGAGGGATTGGTCGATCGATCGAGGGTCGTAGAGCCGCTCGAATGGGTTCTCGCAAGGGACACGGCGGACAGTGCGAAATGAAGGACATCAGAACCCCGGGGGCGAGGAAGTCTTTTTGTGCAGTTTTGGGTGGTATGTTGTGGTTCGCAGGGCTGCCGTGTCCCGCGAACTACAGGCAGAAAGGGCTATGAGTTACCCGCCACTCCGATAGATAATCACTCCTCTCCGACAGCCGAGGCTCGGTGAGGCGACTCGACAATAATTGCTGAGACGTGCGCGTGCTGTTACGGAGCTGGGAGTGTGCGGCAAGAAAGGCAGGTGGTGGTTTGATCCCACCGATGCCGTAGGAGTACCCTGGTGAACGGCGGACCGCAGCTTTTAGCTGTTGTGAAGTACCAAGTAGGCGTTTGCTCTGTCACGGGGAACGTGTCGTACGAGGCCTGGTGGCGGAAAGCGCACGGACGAACCGGAGCGTACATTGCCCGGCGAGGCAGCAATCTCGTGAAAATGAGGACGAACGTGAAAAAACAATCTCCCCGCGCCCCTCCTGCGCGCACCGGCAGAAGCAGAACGGCACGTGTTGCCGATGATGAAACGCGGGAAAATACCCAAATTATTTGTTTTTGTTTGTGCTTCGGTTTCTCGCTTTCTTGTTCGACGACAGGCAAAAAAAGTAGAGAATGCGTTGTACTTTACCCGATATTCTTTCTCTTCTCTATGCGAAAAATTTGTTGCCCTGCTTCGGCCGCAGGAGCTTCTCTCGCAGTCTTGCCCTTTCACGCCCGACATCGGCGTGAGCGCGGCGTGGCCTATCCAGGAGACCACCACAGAGGACTTCGTCCGGCGGCTTCACGCCGAGCACGCCGAGCAGGAGCGCCGCCTTCAGGCCAAGCGATACACGTGAGGGGGGGGAGAAGGAGGGGCGGCGTAACTAGAGCACCACAGCGATCACGGCAGGCGTTGCTGATTAAATTTGCAGCGAAAGAGTGTGTGTAGCATGCAGCAACCCACCCCCGTGCATCACGATGACACGAAACGTTGCCCAAGTCGGCTTGAGACGATGGCACCCGTCCGCGTGCTTTGTTTTTTGTTCTCGCTTGGGGGCCCACACACGCACGTTGTTAGAGAGAACAACGCCACCCACGATTGACCCCATACCCCCCCCCCCCCTACAACTCCATGTAGGCTCCACGGGGCCCCCCACGCCTCCATCGACCCCGCCACCGGCCGACCTTTCTTCTCGCCGATGATCAACAAGACGTGGGCAGGGCGTCAGCACCACCACCACCGGCGGCAGAGCGGCGGCTTCAGCGGTTGGTTCTCTCGACATGGGGTGACGAAGTCAACGGCAGCAACGACGACGACGACGACGACAGCAGGGAGAGGGGCAAAGAGGCCGGGCGACAAGGGCAAGGCGGGCACCGACGGCCGCTGCTTCTACCACGACGACGACGACAGACCCATCCACGCCAGCCTGTGGGAGCGGGGGCTGGCGCTGGAGAGGCGGAGGGAGGCCGACGCCCGCTCGCGGGAGGAGGCGAGGAAGTCGGCGGCGGCGGCGGGGCACGTCGGCGGCCGGTCGGCGGAGCTGATCCGAGCGATGCGGGTGCGGAGCCTGGTCCAGACGTACCGGACGCTGCTCGCCTCGGTGGAGTACGCCCGGCTCCCGGAGGGGCTAGACTACGACGAGGTAAAATAGCTGGACGAACGTGTGTGCATCTCGTTTGAATGAGGTACTATTATACTGCTGTACGCACACGATTTTGGTACGATGATCGTGGTGTACGGGGAGGGTTGTGCTGTGTACACGCGCGTGCGCGCGCGCATGAACGTTTTCCCTGGACCACGGCGACGACACTGCTGCTATTGTTCGTGTTTACATGCGGTGGCGCCGTCGCACAAGATGAAAAAAACACGATAAAAAAAACACTTTTGGCGGAGAAAAAATGCATCTTTCTTCCGTGCATTCACGCTGTCTTGTTCCGGGAGAGCCTTCAGCGGGATAATACATGTAGTAACTCCTGCTACGTACATATGCATACGCGTCGCGAGTTCGATCTTCCACGGAGGAGATGTTGGGGCGAAAAAAAGCACCGAAACGCATGGGGGACCGACCCAGTACAGTGCTTCGAGAACGAAGTACGCGAGCCCGTGTCAGTCGTACGGGTTTCGATGTGGGTCAGAAAGGGACGGACAGTCGTAGTAGATTTTTCCGCCGGTTTGCTTCAAAACACCCCTCCCTCGACAGAGCGGTAGAAATCAAGGAAACTGTTATGAGCCACCTTTGGCAAAAAAAGTTAGAAGGGACAATGATGGGCCATCGATGATCGGTCCCATGGGAACACTGCTCCGTCTTCTCGAGGGCGCGAGGTCAGTGGTCTACCCGCTAAGGAATGCGAAACATGAGCACGACCCCTCCACAGAGGGTTTTTCATCGCCGTGCGGCGCACCGGTAGAGCAGGTGTACAACATGGGCAGTCATAATGGGCAATGAAGGCGGATCCTACTCCAGGGGTTGGTTTCGTGCCACGTCCCCGCATTGCCCTGGCTGACGTATCATGGCATGGAGCTTCCCCCCCGGGCTTGGTCGTAGGCCCCGTCTTGCGAGTGCCCTGTGTAAGATGCGTTCCGCGCTGGTTATACTCGTCTCCTCCTCCTCCGTCTTCTTGCTCGAGACTATGCATGCCCTTGCTTCACCGCTTGACGGCACACTTGAAAAAAGTACCATTCCGATTTGAATCGTGAACGGAAATAACGCGGAACAACGCAGGCGATGGAGTCTATCACCTCAAAGATCAACGCCATCTTCGACAACGACAACGACGCTTGGCAGGAGATGACGCTGGAGGTGTGTCTATATGCCTGTCTGTCTACCTGAGATTGTCCCCCATCTACGGTTGGTTGCGTTTCTCTTCTGCCCGCCCCTCGATCCAGCCTGCCCTGTCTCGAACAGGATACATCCGTTATGATTTCAATAAGCCCCACATGTCAACTATTTATGTGCAACGAGAGCCAGAATCAAGACGGTGCGGTGCCCCTTCGTCTTAGTTAACGCCCTCTCTCCGCACGGTCCAAACTCCCATAATTTGGGTGCATGCAGACCTGCCACGTAGTCATTCGTTTGAGAGGGAGAAAACGCAGGCAGACATGCTCGCACACGACTTCATTCACTAAACAAGCCCCTTTTTCTTTAAATATTTTCATTCCCCCCGCCCCCCGGCGTCCTTCCACGGCATCAACCTCTAGGTGGCCAAGGCGGATCCCTCCGTCCTCAAGCCCGAGCTCGTACCGGTGGTTACCTCCGCCCTGGCCGGGCACGGGGAGGAGACCCTGTCCCTGCTGGGCTTCTGCGAGCTGCTCGACGCCGCCGTGGAAAACCTCGCGTCCGCGGGGGGTCCCACTGCCCACCTCTTCGCCCCCGGTGAGTAAAAAACAGAGTGTGGCATGTTATTGAAGAGAATAAGAGTTTGATCGTGAAGACGATGATAATTCCACCACCACGACCACCACCACCACCAACAACAACAACAACAACAACAACAACAACGGCCCACTTGATGTCCAGGTGCAGGACGGTCGGCGGCCGGAGCAGACCGCGCAGCGGCGGCAGCCGCGGCCAAGGCGGCGCGGGAGGATTCGGCGGAGCTGAAGGAGATGACGTTCCGACCGAGACTGAACAGCCATTCTAAGGCTATTGCGAGGACGATGGGCCGGGATGGCACGAAGGTAATCGTTGGCATCTTCATCTCTAGACTACTCCCTCAGTGCACTTCGTACGAATCTGCAACAGGCCCAAGAAATACTTGACTTGTTGAAGAGTGCTCCCATTGGATGTTCTTACTGCCTGCTATGGTATTTGTATTGTGCTCTTGCATGGTTTACAACAAATGGGTCATGTGGTTAGGTTTGTTAAGCGAAAGAACGAGGAGCGGAGAAGGGGAAGGGGGGGGTGTCAAACGGTTGGGGGGGGGTCGTTTCTCGATCCCCTCAACAAGAACATCTTTTGCAAGCGTGGCGCCACAATTCCACGGTCCTCGCTTCCACTGACTCTCGAAACCCCCGTGCGCTCACGCGCGCTTTCTTTTTGTTGTTTTCGCTGATTGTCGCTCGATCTGGCCCGGCTCTCTTCTCACTCTCTCTCCCTCTCTCTCTCTCTCTCTCCCTCTCTCTCTCTCTCTCTCTCCCTCTCTCTCTCTCTCTCTCTCTCTCTCTCTCTCTCTCTCTCTCTCTCTCTCTCTCTCTCTCTCTCTCTCTCTCTCTCTCTCTCTCTCTCTCTCTCTGCCTGTCTTTCTTCCACTCGTTGCGCCTGAATTCCCACGTGACAAATACAAACGTACTCCGGTGGAAGAAGAAAATGGAGGACGTGCGCCGTCGGGAAAACATCAAGAGCGAGCGGCGTCGGAGCCTCCTGTTACGCCAACAAACGGACCTCTTCTCGAAGCAGCACCCCTTCACGCCCACGTTTTTCTCCTCCACAAGACAAGGCAGGAGCAAAAGCAGGGGCGGCGCCGGTGGCGGCGGTGGAGCAAGAAACGCCCCTCGCTACCCCAACGAAATTGCAGCGGATCGTGCAGCGGCGGAAGCAGCAGCGGTGGCGGCAGCGGCGGCGGCGGCAGCGGCGGTCGGTGCCGCGGAGGTGTCGGAGGACCGGGAGGGGGAGATACCGGGGGCAGGGGCGTTGCCGGAGGGAGTAGAGTCGTGACAGGGTTGAGGTGGCGGCGCCAATAATGGACCCGTTACGACCCTGCGACTTCGAATGCATGATGATAGTGAAAGAGCACAGACGGGTGTGTATGTATGTTGACATATTGACGGGATGGCGATGCGAGGAAGAAACGAAGATGCGCTCATCAGCACCGATCACCCTTTTCTTCCTTGAGTAGATTCCATATGGCGAGAGAGGGTTTGGAAGTAATCGCGTCGTGTAAGCTCTCCACAGAAGGAGAAGCTACCAAGACACGCTTCAGCAGTCAATGTTGGGCATATCTCCTGTATGTAGTACTACCTCACCCCCTGTATTGTATCTACGGCAACAATATGCTGGTCGCCTGGTACAGGCACAGCCCGTACTGCTACAGAGTAGCAGCAGCAGCCGCGTGTATGCTTCCAACCAAGGCAAAAGGCCCTTGTATGTGACATAGATTGCCGTGTACCACGGCTGCTTCCCCAATTGATTTTTTTCAAGCGCCGTTTGTGTGTCGTCATGGACGGGGGGGATGGATAGAAAGGTACTACGCACCATACACCTGTATGCATACTATACTACTACTGCTGAATGTAGTACTACTGTACTCTCCTTGTGTACTGCTGAAAGCGAGAGCGAGACGGGAGGAGAAGAAGGCTGCTACGTCATCTAGACTATATATTATAGGCGCGGAGGAGGCGAGAGGACAGAAAACGCTTTCATTCGTATGGACAGCACCACCACGGACGATGCATGCATGCATGTAATGTACATTTGCACCTACTACTACTACGGGGTACAGAGTAAACGGCGGTGCCGTGGCTCTGGTGGTGGAATTGATGTCTTGTCATGCGACGCTGCCCGACGACGCGCTGCCTGTAGACCATAATATAACAAACGATGTGTACATGAGGTCCACTCTCGCTTCTTTTTGTCACATGCAACAATCTTCTCCCAACAACATACATCCACAGAAAGCTCGTGTTTCATCTTCCCGACTATGCCAACCATGAACGCGCTATGCCCGTGTGTGCGGTAAAAACAAACACACGCAACAGCAGCATGACCGCGTTGTTCGCAACCAAGCAGCGCTTCGAACTTTCTCTCCCGAACAATGACACCGCCGACACACCCAAGACTCAAGCCCGTTCATCGTGCGCGTCGTCCCGACAAAAGCAGCGTACGCGGCCAAAATCGATGTATACACAACGCTGCTGCTGTAACCAAGAAGTTTAGCTCGAGGGAGCCCACACAAAACTTCACAAAAATCCAAATCACAAGGGTGACGAAGCCTAACCACACCGCTGGGCGTAACAAACGACGAAGCGGCGGAACAAAAACAGTTGCCGCAGTACGAAGGGCGCCAAGCCCGATCGTCCTCGCGCAACTCTGCCGTCACAAAACCCGCCCATCGTTTTCGGAGCGGGTGCCCCCGTTGCTTCGTGTGGCTACGAGCGAGCTTCGCCGACGCCCTCCAAGGCGAAACTCGGACCCAACCGGAAGCACTATCAAGAGACGGAAAACGACGATCCCTACAAACATAAGGCGGCGCGAGGGTGTCTGCTTGCGGCCCAGCGCGCCGAACGTCTCCCGGGACCCTATGCCCCGCTGCCCCCCGCTCAGCGCTCAAAGCCACAGTCTACCAGGTTTGCCGCATGAACGGGCTAACAGCAAGAAGTGCCAGTTGTTGCCGACCTCAACGTATCGAACCCCCCCGACACAGCCGCCGCGCTGAACACACGGTTCCCGTGACCCCACACCCCGCTGCCCCCGCTCAGCGATCAAAGGCACAGGCTACAGGGTGTGCCGCATGAACGGGCTAACAGCAGGAAGTACCAGTTGTTGCCGACCTCAACTTATCGAACCCCCCAACACAACCGCCGCGCTGAACAAACGATTCCCGTGACCCTACACCCCGCTGCCCCCGCTCAGCGATCAAAGGCACAGTCTAAAGGGATGGCGCATGGGACAGAAGCAAAGCACCAGTCGTTGTCGAACTCGCCGTATCGAACCCCCCAGACCACAAATCCCGAATCCCGTTAACACGAGGGTCAATCGCCGTGCTCTGGGTTCAATTCACACACGTCGGTTGCTCGAGAACGCCGTTGTTAACGTGCCGAAGGAGTCGGGCGGCAAGGTGGAGACGAACGTCGGGGCAATCCGTCCCCTCTTCTTGGACCGCCGTTTCGGCAGGGCGGTGGGCGCCGCCGCCGCTGCAGCCGCCGTCGCCGCCGCCACACCTTCTCCACCCGCGTCAGAGTCGCAACCCAATCCGCCACCACCGCTGCTACCCGCGCCGCCGTCCCTCTTCCGCCGGCTCCCGCTGAGAGTTTCGGAGCTCATGCTATCCTTACCGCCACCGTCGTTACAATCGACGGCTAGCGATTGTGACCCCACCGCGCCCGAAGCTGTAGGCGTATATTCGGCGGCGGTGGTGGTTGCAGCGGGCGCGCTTGCCGGAGCACCGGCAGCCGCCGCCACCCCGGCGGCCAAGGCCTTAGACCCGTTGCCCATCGCCGCCGCCGCCGCCGCCGCCGCCGCCGGCTCCACGCCAGCGCCATCCTCTTTTCCAGCGGGCTTATCATCGTCTTCCACCGGAGACACGCCTTTCGTCATGCTCCGTCCGAGCCGGATAAGGGTAGGCAGAGACCGGGCCTCTCCCGCGGCGCGGGGACCGGGACTTGTAGCGCTAGCGGCGGCAGGGCCCGCTGAACCCCGGCTCGAGGTAAACGCTGCGCAGAAGCTCGCCCAGCTCGACTGCTTTTCCTCCCGCTGGGCAAGCCCCTCGAGAGGGGCCGCCCATGAACACGGAGGCGTTGTATCCGGCGCCGCTTCCTCCCCACGGTCGACTCCGCAGTCCTCGCCCGAAGCAACGGGACCAGCTACTGAAGCAGCAGCGACTGTAGCAGGAGCGGGGGTCGGGGTGGCAGCAGCCACGCTTCCTCCGAGTGAGGGCTCCGCGATAGGTAGCGCCAGCCAACGCGTCACGGGGCCTTCCCCGCCGGTCTGCTCGCCGACGCCGTCGCCGATATCGCCGCCGCCGCCGAGTAGCGCCGCCCCGTCCCACAAGCAGCTGGGCACAGAAGACCACGCCTCCGAGTACCCCGCTTGCACTTCCTCCGGCGACATGGAGAGCGAGAGCGAGGCGCTGTCGATTTCGCGCGCGGCGACAGCCAACGGCGGCGGCCGCGGCGGCGACATCAGTCCCCCCGCCGGATCGGAACCCTCGACGTCCCCTCCCGGGGGAGACGCGGAGTGGAGGAAAGGGCCGTTGGAGACAGAAGCCGCGGGGGCGACGGTCCCAAGAGACGACGTCGCCCCCCGGCCAGACGCATCGCCGCCGGCGGTCGTAGGTCGCTCGCTGCAACGCAGCAGCTCTCCCCGATCGCCTTTCTTCGCCGCGGCGGCGGCCGTAGCTGCAAACGCGAACCGGCGAGCTTTTACTGGAGGGGGAGAGGCCACCGCAGCGCAAACGGCGGGAGACGCACCGTCGCCGGCGGCGGAACCAGCAACAGCCGCCCCCTCCCTGGCCCCGGGAGCGCTAGTAGTAGCCCCACGGGCTCCACCAGAAGTAGCAGGGGGAGAGACGGATTCCAACTCGCCAACTGGTTGGTTCGCGGTCGCAGCGACAGCCTTATCGGCGGCGATCTCCCCGGCAAAGGGACGTTTCTCTTTGGCTGACGTTCCCTCGTCTGTAGTCGGCCGCGGTAGGTCCGTCCCAGCACGCAGCGGCGGCGGCGGCGACCGCTCTTTGAAAGCCTTCTTCGCGGAGGCAAACGCAAACGGCCGGGAAACGGCCGCGGGCGAGGCGGCGATAACGCTCGGCGCGTCTGCCGTCGGTGTCGCCACGAGCTGCCGCTGCTGCTGCGGTGGCGGCGATGGAGTTGTGCCCGGCGCAGCCGTCGTCGGAGCAACCCGCTTCCTTCCTGCGCCCTCGCTAGCACCCTCTCCAGAGCCCGGCCTCCGCCGCTTCACCGGGCTGTTCTTCTCCGCCACCCGCGACATCACCGGCGGCGGCGGGGGCGTAGCGCCCTCCGACGGGGCTGCTGCAACCACCCGGAAGCGAGTGTCCGTGCGCGGCTTCTCGGAACCCTTGTCGCCACCCGCCTCCGCCGGTCTGCTCGACAGCCCCCCACCGGAGCCCTCGAACGACGACGCAGGGTCCCCGCCGTTAGATTGGCTCCTGGTTAGCTTTCGGCTTCCGCCGGGGTGCGACTGCGGCGAATCCTCCGCCGCACCCCCGGCCGCCGCATCCGCCGCCGTCCCTGCTGTGCCGACCGATTGGTGCGCCGGCCGTGGGGTTGGTGGGGCCGTAACGGTCGCCGCGCCACCGCCGCCGCCGTCGCAGGACGAGGACCCTGATGCCGCTGCTTCGGGAGCGATACCATTGACCGGTGCCACCACCTGTTGGTTGGGACCGACGTTTTTTCAGCAACGAGAATATGACCGCTGGTGAGATAAATCCATGGACGACTTTCGGTGGCCGGACAATGTTATTTTAGGCATGCGCTTCCGCCAGGGTCGCTTTGATCTTGCCGACGAACACGAGAGTATTGCTATGGTAGCATAAACAAGCCAGGCTTGTGAACCAGCTATGTAGTGCAGAATGTTGACAAGCGTGATGTAGTCATTGGACGTGGGTGAAAGAGGCGGTTGTTCTTACGTATGTTTGGGGGTACTCAGCGCTCGATACTGATCTACGGAGATCTAGGGGGTTTCGTGTATCATTGGCGGTATATGTTGGTAGAGGGGCGGTCCCCCTTCTGCTGTGCATGGACTAGCATGCTCCGGCGCACTCGTTAATATACCAAGGTCCTGAGTCAACCTTTCTTTGCGCTTCTGACAACAAGCTGCCCGCCTCCAAACAACCTATACTACCCCGTATCCTCGGGTAGGTTCCAGATCATGCAACACCCCAACCCGACAAAAACAAACCTCCGCTTCGCTGTCAGCAACGACGCAACCGGCGCCGTCCGCGGTCGTCGCCGCTGCCGCCGCTACTGCTGGATCTGGGGCAGGTTGCCGCCGAAAGCAGGCCGACGAGCCGGACTCTCCGGGCTTCAACGCGGCGGCCGGCGCACCCGGCACCTCGGGGGAAGGCGGGACGCGTTTCCCTAGCCCCGCAGGAGTCTCGCCCGTCCCCGCGCTACTCGACCGCGCGGCCCCCTCGTCCGCCGCCGCCGCCGCCGCCGCTGCCCGCGTCGTCGAAGACGCACTGGCAGCGGCGGCGGTGGCTGCAGCAGGAACGGCGGGCGACCGCGGGCGACCTAACTTTGCGCGTGTCGGAAGACCTCCCATCTTGAAAACAGACCGCGTCGCCGGCGGCGGATACGAGCTGGGGGACCGGGCTGCCGTCTCAACGGGTGCGGATGCTGCTGCTGCCGACGTCTGTGGCAGCGGTTCTTCCGCCGCTGGCGGTGCCGCCGCGGCGCGCGCGGTCGATGGGGCACTAGCGGTGCCCGGTGGCGTGGTCGGCAGCGGCTTCGAGTCTCCAATCTTTGGTTGGACTACCGGCTGGGTGGTTCGCTGCTCCACGCGATCGTCCCTCGTCGAACCCCCCGCACACACCGCCGGCGCACTGCTGTCCAAGCGCGACGGAAGAACTAGCTTCGTGTCTGGGGGAACGTTTCCGTCCACGCTTGACTTCACCCCAGCATCCTCCACCGATGGAACAACAGCACCAACAGTTCGTGCTGGCAACACTGGCTGTGCGCTCGCCCTTCCGCCTGCTTCTGCCGCCGCCGCCACCGCCGCCGCCGCCGCCGTGTCCGGTGGTAGCGATGTCTGCGGCAGGTCGGGCGGAGCGGGTGATCGTCCCGAGTCCTTGTCTTCTCCCGCCCCTCTACCTCCCAATTGCGGCGGCGTCTCCGACGACGCCGAAGTCAAACCTACATGCTTCTGCTCCCCCCGTTCCCCCTCCACCTCTGCCGCCGCCGCCGCCGCCGCCTCGCCCACTTCAGCCGGTGACGTCGACGGGTCGACGAGAAGCTCCACTCCACTCCCACCAAAGAGAGCCATGCACGTCTCCTCTCCCATGAGGGTACTGTCTGCAGGCGGCGGAGACGCCGGGGCCCCGGCGGACCGTGCCGTCGCCGTCACGGCCGTGCTTGTCGGTCGCGGCAGGGGGAGATCAGCGAGGGGCGACCCCTCCTTCACTTTTTCCAACACCCCCACGCTTGTTGCCCCCGCCGGCTTCGTCGCCGCCGCTGGGGTTGCTGCCGTCCCGCCAGTAAGTGGTGGCGATGATTGCACTGGCCCTGCCGCATCCGGCTTCGCCGCATTCGCACCCGTTCTCTCGTCTACCCCCGCTACCGCCCCGCCCGTGCCTCCCGGTGGCGACGGGTCCACGAGCAGCTCCACTCCGTTCCCGCCGAAGAGGGCCATGCACGTCTCCTCTCCCATCAGCGCACCGCTGGCCTTGTCGCCGCGCGCCTCGTCGTCGCCCGCTTCGCCGCTCGCGTCGCCCCCGAAGTCCTCGAAACCGCCGTCGCCGCCACCGCCGTCGCCGCCGCCGCCGCCGCCGCCGCCGCCATCGTCGGCCCCGTCTTGGAACCCTTCCTCGCCGTCAGGAGAAGGAGGGTCCTGCTTCTTTTGCTTCTCCCCGATCCGGTCTTGTCGTCCCCTTCGCACGGCAGCAGGCGCCGAGGCTCCTGGCGCCGAAGCTCTCGCAGATACCTCGACGCGTCCCGGGAGCGCCTGCTGCGCCGCTACCGCCGCATTCCCGATGGCGCCGGCGACGGCGGCGGTGTGCATCCTGGCGAACAGCCCGCCGGGCAGGAAGTGGGTCAGCGGCGGCGGCGACGCGATGCCCTGCCGCTGCAACATCCGGTTGATGTTCTTGTAGTGCTTCTTCAGGGTGGCGTTGGCGAGCGTGTTGCCCTGGACGCCACCCTTGCGGCCCCCTCGCGGCGGTCGTGGGGCTTTGTTCGGCAAGGCGCCGGCACCGGCACCGGCGGCAACCCCCGCCGTCGCGGCAGCGGCGGTGACGGCGTTCGCCATCGACTGACTACCGCTCGCGAAGTTCCCCGGCGGTGCCACCACCGGCGCCTTCCACGCCATGCCCCCAGAAGCGACCATCGCGGCAGCAGCAGCAGCAGCAGCAGCAGCAGCAGCAGCAGCAGCGCTTCCGCCGGCCACCGCGCCACCGCCCACCCCGGGTATGGAAAACGGGCACCCGGGAGCCCCCAGCCGCGGTGCTACTACAGCCTGCCGCCGACCCATCGTCGTCGGTGCTACTACCGGGGGGGGGGCCCGCGGCGTTGGGGTCGGGGTCAGGGTCGGCCGAGCGGCCGCGGCGGGCTCTTGTTCCGGCGCGGCGTCCCACGGTGCCGAGCCGTGGGACGGGGGCGGGCCGACGGGGCCGGTCAAGAAGGTGTAGCTCAGGCTCAACGCCTGCTCTTCGCAGACGCGGTCGAGCGCGGGGCCAGGCAGAGCGCTGACGAGGTCCAGGAGGGGCCTCTTGCTTAGCTCCGCGCCCCACACGACCGTCCGGTCAGCGGGCGGCGGCGGCGGCGGCGGTTGCGAGAGAGCGGGGGTGCTCGCCGCCGCCGAGGACGCCGGCACCCCGGTGTCGCCGGCATCCGCATCGAAGATGATGCGGATGCTGTTGAGGTCGCTGTACGCGACCTCGCTCCATTTCTTCACCATGAACTTGAACACCGCCTCGAGAGGTTTCGACAGCTGAAAACGGTCGCCACGGCCCGGGGGGGGAGAACGTGAAGAGAGTGGTTAGAGTACAGGGCCCAACGCTTTCGGGTACATCGTTCGTCGAACAGGCGATCAACCCGCAAGTTGTCTGTGTCGATTTCATCATCGCACGAAGTAGAACAGCGGTGCAAGCGCCTGAGTCTGTGTATTGCTCCAGCTTCTTCTCATTTTCACTTTGGGTTGCCTATGGATACGACGTCAGGAAACTTGGCTAACAGCCGCAGGGGTCTGTCTTGCTGCTGTGTGCGGCTGGCTGCTCGTCCAAACCCCGCACCGGCGGCGTCAAGCACATCCTCTCCCACACGTCTCTGGAGCCAACCTCGCGAACCCTCAACTTGGTTCAACGTACGAACTATAACAACAGGTCATCTCACTCCGATACATTTCACATTGTAATCCTTGAGTTGAATACTCCAACGAAACCCCACGGTAAATCATGAGTCACTAACACTCAATGATGGATCACTCCCGCCCCCCGCACCGCTCCCTACTGCCACTGTCAACCCCCCCCGAAACGGCCAACCGCTCCCTACTGCCACTGTCAACCCCCCCCGAAACGGCCAACACTCACCGGAGCAGTGAGCTTCTGGAAAGGGAGATATCCGCGCTCCGACACCTTGCTCTCCGTGGATTCATCCCGCGGGGAGAACCGCAGGGACACCTTACGGGGCAGCTGGCGAGGCGACGACCGCCCGCGCACCGCCTCTGCCGCCACCGCCGCCGGCCTCGCCGGCCCGGCGGGCTGACCAACAAACCCTCCCATACCCATGCGCTCCGTCACGACCGCAGTATTCCCGGAGAACGACGACCCCGCACTCGAGGGGACCACCGCCGCCGGCGGCCGCGACGGCGGCGAGGGGGGCAACGGTTGTGGGGCAGGTTTCGCCTGCTGCTGCGTTGCAGCCTGCGGTTGTTTGGACCTGTCCGTCACCTCGTCGCGTCGCACGGCAGGCGTCTGCAACGCGGGTTCCGCGAGGGTCGTGGGAGTGGCGGCCCCCGCTTCATCGACCGTTGCCCCCACCCGCCCCCGCGCCGCGCCGCCGCTGGCGCGCGGGAGAGCTGAAGCGGGCACCGCTCCGGCTCCCTCCTGCTGCGGCTCCATGGCCTTCTCCCGGGCTAGCGTTTTCGTCGCCTTCATTGTGCTAGCGGGTTCTACCGCTCTCGCGCCGGCCAGTTGCGACGCCTCTTCTTCCGCGGGCGGTGCCCCCGACGACGCTCTACGCGGTGCCGCTGCCGCCGTCGCTGCTGCTGCTGCCGTGGTGGTGGCGGTGGTGGTGGTGGTGGCGGTGCGCTTCGGCTTGTCGGTTTTCCTTATGGTGGAACGCTTCGCCGAGCCGGGGTCGGATGCGGTGGCCAGCTCAACCTGGACGAGAGTAAAAAAAGGTCAACATCAGGGCGGGCGCGACTCGATAAGGCCTGGTTTTGACAAGGGAAGCGCGAATACACTGCTGTTCTTGTGCAAAGGATAAAATACAACCTGCGCAATGGTAGCCTCTCTGGTCTCCGCTTGGCAAACCCTGCCCTCCGGGCGGCGGAGGTGGGTAGAGAGGGGGGATTCGAAGGTAGAAACGCGGGGGGGAACATGCACTCGTGCCACGTTTTTGAGGGCCCTGACAACCTCGGTTATGCTCAGTTGAGCGAACAGAAGACAGAGGGAAGAGAGCAAGTTGCTGGCGACGATACAGGTGTGTCAAGTGTATTCCGAGAGGCCTAGCCTGAGCTGTGGGAGAAAAATTTCACTTCTCGAGGCGTAAGCAAAATCAAAATGCCCGGGTTCAGGCCATACAAAGCAACCCCCGCATGCTGTCATCCTTTCGTACTGGCGAGGCTGTCGGAGTTCGGTGCCAAAAAGATATACTTCTCGGAGGGCTAGACAAAAAGTACAAGTCGACTACAATCTGTGGTCACAAAACACAGGAAGCGGAATACCCACCCTTGTAGTCGGGCTCTCGCCGCAAGGTGATGCAGCGGCCGGAGAAGCCGCCGCCGCGGCGGCGGCGGCGGCGACTCCGGATTCAGCAGCAACAGGCGCCGCGGACGAAGAAACCGACGAAGGGTGCGATGCCGCTGCCGGCGAAGAGTACGCCGGGTGCCGAGACGACCGTAACGACGACGACGTCGCGCCGGCGGGAGCAGCAGCCACCGCCGCCGCAGCCGGAGACAAAATATCGCCTGTGGGGAGCAACGGCGGTGGTGACGCCTGGCCCGGCGGTGGTGGCAACGACGGTGCAGCGCCGCCCCCCGCTCCCCGCGTTATCGATACCCCCGCCCCGTCCGCCGAGGCCCCATCATCCGCCGCAGCCTTCCGTGCCACCGGGGCCGCGGACTCCGAATGATTCTCCGGCGTCCCCTTGGCGTCCGCGGCAGCGGCGGCGTTAAGCTCACTCGGTTGCGTGCCGCATCCCAGGAGCAGCGCGTCCGGAAAGCCCAGGGACAACCCCGGGTCGCTCCCGAAGCCGACGACTTCTTCCCCGCCCGGGCCCCCACCCCCTCCGTTGTTCGCCGCCAACACCTGGCTCTCGGCAGACGCAAAGGCGGAGGCGGAGGCGGAGGAGACGCCGGGCTGCGTGTCGGACCCCCTCTGCAGCAACGCCGTCATGAAGTGCGAGTCGATGGTGTCCTCGAACCCCGGGATGAGCTCCATCCCCGCCGGCAAGCTAACCCCCGACACCGACGGAGACACCGGGGCGGTGGCCACCGCCACCGGCGAGTTACTCTTGGCCGACTCCTGCCTAGGTCTCCTGAGGTTTCTTGCTGGTCGTCGCGGCGTGACCGCACTCGCGGTGCCATTAGCGGCGGTGGTCGTTGCTTTCTTTCCGGCATCGACAACGCGCCCGCCGACACCGGTACTGCCCTTGCTCTTGTTTTTTTTCCTGCCGCCGCCGCAACGACGACGAGCCCGTACCGAGCTCTTGGCCTTCGTTGACGCTTTCTCTGTCTCGGCTGCCGCCGCCGCCGCCGCCGCCGCTGCCGCTGCCGCTGCCTTCGCGTCACGGGCTGCGGCCGAAACGATGGCGGCATCGAGCGACTGCTTGAGCGAGAGCACTGCTCGCGCCGGGGGTTGTACGGCGGCACTCGTAGCGTCGCCCTCGCCGCTCCAATTGCCGCGATCCTTCCCCGCTCGGACCGCCACCGCCCCGCCCGCCGCCGCCGCCGCCGAATCGGGCCCTGGCGGGAGGGAGGCCGACGGCTGGAAAGAGCCGGAAGACGCCTGCAACGGCGAAGAGGCCATCGGCGGGAACAGCAGCGACGCCGCCGAGCCTCCCGGGAAGGAGGGGTTGCTCCCGTCGCCGCCACCGACGTCGGGGGCGTTGTTGCCTTCCATCCCCGCGGCGGCGGAAAAACCGAAGAGACTATCTCCCGGAAGGAACAGGTCTTCGTCGCGGCCTGTTTTGTCGTCGGAGGAGGCGTTTTTTGGGGGGGCGGGGGCGGGGGACAACAACGACGGGGGGGGGGGAGGCGCGATCGGGACAAGACAACCCATGCTTGCACGACCAGTGGAAAACGTACAAAATTAACGAAAGCCAACAACAGCAGGCTACCTAGAGGGGTCGAGGGAAACGTAAAGGGTAAAATGTAGTACGGCGATAAGCACAGCAGGAGCAAGGCGTTCTGAAAAAATCGTTCTGAGACCGCAGCAGGAAAGAGAGTCCCATGCAAAACGTAAATCCAGTACGTTAAATATATGGCACCACGCTGTTGTTGTAAACGTCAAGTGTGCATATAATGAGGCTTTTGAGAAACTTTTCACCCCGAACAGCCGCTTCAACATGGCGGCGAATCCTGGCCGTTCGTAACTGCTGTAAGTTTACATCGCGCAAAAACATTTTGGAAGGTGGTGAGGTTGTTCCTGACCAAGGCGACATGCCCGTGGTTGTGTCGCAATCCCCGTCTATTCTGGAATTCAGCATACATAAAGAGTAATACACTTCTCGGCATATGTACACGTAAGCAAACTTGCCTACGCGGCTGGAAGCACCCCAAACACTGGCGTTTGTTTCAATATCTCCTCTCTTGTGGTGCTTGCATTCTAATCGCGAGGAGGATCAGCGGCCCCTTTTCTGATGTGAACATCGTGTTGTTTTCCACACTACTTTCCTTCTGCGGTGCTCGCCTTTATTGTAGTCGCCAGAAGGATCTCAGCGGGGTCTCCATAAAGTGCGTTGTTACCTTAAGAAACCGGTCCGTGCTCTGTCCACCTTCTCGGTAGATTTACGGTGTACCACGATATTGTTCTGGTGGGTAAAACTGCTGTTGTAAATGACATCCATGCTACAACTGACGCAGGCTACTCTACAGTAGTAGCTGCCCCCAAGGCGATTATGAACAGGGCCCAACAACCCCTACGAAAGTAATCGAATCGTTCTCCACCTGTGGTAACACACTACACGTGTTTGGAGTAAGGACGCTTGGTGCTGTAGATACTACACAGAACCTCTGCTGTTTCTTACCGTATGCACACCACGCCGCACCAATGAAATGGGAAATGTGCTTTGACCGCGTCTCTCATACACAAGCAATGGAAGTGGAGCGGGAAATGGGGGACGCAAGCTACTTTGACTTTTAGCGATTTGGACAGCTCAACGCGCCAAAAAGTGAGAGCCCGGCCAGGTACCACCGAGCCTTTTGGCCTTATCTGAAATCTGGCGCGAAAAACGTTGTGGTATCCGTATTCGGCAGCACGACTACAGCAGCCGCTGTACCAGCAGAGAGGCAGCGCGGATGTGACTTGAAATGAAAACGAGATAATATGCTGCGCGTCTACCGCAGTACCTCGAATTAGGTGCTGCCGCACGCGCTGTGTTTTGATCTCTTGGCTGTGTACTGGGCAGCCTCTGAAGTTTACAGCGGGCGTGTGCTACACGAATTCCACCAAAAACTTGACGGCCTACGGCTTCGCTGTTTGCATTACCTCCTCCGCATCATCTTGGCCTCGCTCGAATATGAAGGCAGCGAAATATTCAAAAAATTAACAGTAGCACACTTCCAACACTCAAGAGGTGCTCCTCGTGTGTAGGCTCACCGGTAAAGGCAGACGGATCGATGGGTCCCATCATCATGGAAGCGCTGTCTCCTCCGATGTCGGCCATCTCCCCCCCACACGCCCCGCCAGCTTGCCTCCTCAAGCAACCAAGCAAACCGTCACCGGGTCAGCCAGCCCTCCTTACACACACAGCAGCAGCACCAGCCTCGCTTTTCGCCTGGCCCGACCAACCTCCTCGCAGGCTCCTGCGTTCGGCGACGTTCCATACACGTGGGATCCGTACACACAGATTCTACTTGTTATGTGTCGAAGCCTAGCTCTCGCACGCCTCTGCTGGTGCTGTGTGTAATGGATCAGGCCCCGATGCACATGCCTAGTGTGTTACGGTAGGCCTGTTATGGGGGGGGGTACAAAATTTGAAAATATTGTAATCTACGGAGCCCCGAGGATACTCCCGGATTTGTTGTGCGGACCAGCTGTACTACACTGCAGTAAACTTGGGAGTAGGATGTCGGTGCTTTTCCCTAGCCTATATCCGTTGTGTTTCTCATGCCCATACAATGCTTACCGGCTCCCCTGTACCCACAGATCAGGCAGGATGAGTCTCTTTTTTCGCCGCCAGGACGATGTTGAGCATTGTTCTCGGTTTGCGGCCCCCAGCGGCAGTTTCGCACTGGCCTTCATGGCCCTTGGTACTTGATGATACTCCAACAATTCTTATTCTTCGCCACACAAGCCTCGAACCAGGCATGCTTGTGCTTATTTGAGAGAAGGGTGATGTTTCTGCGTTCGTGGGCGAAGTCAACTTTCGCTCAGCAACCCTCTTGTTAGGCACCCCTTGTGAAGCACCCGGGGAGTCTACAGTTTTACGAGTACAGTCACTTTGTAGGTTGTCAGGATCTTTCGGAGGAGGCGGCCTTGCTTGCGACACGCACCAGAAAACTAGCGCGAGCAGATTCCCCCCAATCCTCTCCGACGTCCACGAGAAATAGAAATATTTCTCGAGCGCGCCATACATTTCCCCCGCGCAAGGATGACAACGCTGGAAGGCACGAGAGGGAGCCACAAGGAAAATAAACTCAAAATGAGCCCAGTTTCCGGCCGGTTTCCCTCCAATCACAGAAAGACTTTGCACCTCCCTTTCGACTGTCGTCAAATGTATCTCGAACGGGTAGTCTTTCTCTGAGACGAGGTATCCTTTCTTAAAAAAAAAGTGAAGTCTTAAAGGGATTCACCTGCTACACCTGTACCCCAAAGGCAAAGACAGGGCTACCCCCATCGCACAACGGCATTCAAAGTAGGCAACGAACGGTGGATGAGGACGCATTTCCGCTGCGGGATAATCGCCCCGCATCGTCGACGCTCCAAGACCTCCCCCCTCCCTGGGCTCGGAAAAAAAAAAACAGGACTGGTTGGCAGGCCACTACGTCCCGGTTGCTTCTATTACAGCAGTACCGACAATCGGGATACACAATTCAAGCCAAGCCTAGAAACTAAGCGCGTCCTGCCTGCCTCACCACTGAGGGGTCAAGTTCCTCCCAACGCGGCGTCTCTGGCCGCGGCCGTTGACAGCCCCGCGTCCGCTCGTTACATATCGTTGCACGAACGGTTTACCATCCCTTGGAGCCGCACCCCATATATCCGCCGCCACTCCCTCCCACCGCCCCGGACCCGTCGGCACGCTCCCAAAACAACCGGAACCGCGCGCTCCGAAAACAACGCCGCTTTCCGACGACCGCGCTACAACGCTCACGACAACCGCGCCAAGCCTCAAAACTTTCATCATCAGTACAGCGCTATCCTCAGCAGCTGCCCCGTCGCAGCCCCTTTCTCCTGAGGACCACCACCACCGCCACCGCCACCCTTCTTTTTCTTTCCCGAGCCGCCACCGCCGCCGCCGCCGCCGCCGCTGGGTGCCGATACCAGGTGGGGGCGGACGCAGTCCGAGAGGAACGCCATCGTGTCCCCGGAAACCCCGTCCATGTCGAGCACGCTCCTGCCCTTCACGTTCTTCTCGAGGTCGAGGATGACCAGCGCCGACGAGTCCAGGCGGAGAGACCCGGCGGCGGCGAGCGCGCGCATGCGTCCCGGAGTCCCAACCTGTGGGAGCAACAGCAGCAGCGGGCCCGGGTTTTGATGGATCGATTCCTCCCAAGAAAAAAGGAAATGGAAGACATTACCGGAAAATACATCACAGGAAATACAGCGCTAAGAACAAGGGATGTGATAGGGCGAACCCCATTCGATTGACCGATTCCACCAAAAACAACGGAAACGGCGGCATCACACGAAAAAGAACAAGCACAATAACAAGGCGATAGATGAGCAACTGACACGAGTTTTTATGTGAACAAAAGAAAAACAACAGAAGCGGTTGCTGATCACAGAAAATCGATTGTTGACGAACCTCCACGCAAGAATTAGGCAGAGCGTGTACCAGCGTACGAGTCTTGGGGTTTCATGTCCCTGTTATTCGTCCGCGTGACACGCTGTGTGTGTCTTGTCCATTTCGATAGTAGGGGGGTCGGTGTTGTCGTGAGCACTTCGCGATCCACACAAGAAACAGCCGTTTTTGTTGTTTTGTATAATTCTTCGACATGCATGATGGTGTACAGCGTAGAAGCATACCATATACTTTGGTTTCGCGAACGCTCTCGAAATCGATCCTAGGTCCGGTTCCAAGTGTCGTCGTTGTTGTTGAATGCCCCTTGCATTTCTCTCTTATTTTTGTATCACCATGTTTCTCGTGTATATCTAAATTCTGACGTTGTTGTTCTTGTTGTGACAAACACCGCAGCAAAAAAAACTACACACTAAATGAATACCACGTAGTGCCTGCGGTGGCATATGTCGGTGTCTACTAGGAAGCCCTCGTATTTTACGAAAGAAAATAACGGCGACAGCAGTGGAAACCTTCCTACGAAAATTGGTTCCAGGGGCTGTTTGCAATCATCCCCCCCATCCTTCCCTTCACAAACGCCCGCGTGCTTACCCCGAGGGGGAAACATCCCTTCCTGAGCATGACCTTCTGCTCCTCGATCTTGAGGTGCTTCGCGAACAGCTTCACCACCTGGCACCGAAAGGCCGTCAGGTGTTTCATCACCTGTAGCAGGTTAGAGACGGGCAGCGAATCGGTTTTGTCCGAGGCGGTAAGTCCAAGAGTACTGTAGGCAGTAGGCGGTGCAGAACGGAACAAAAAACACACCGGGTATTTTCCGTTTGTGCGAAGGGGACAAGGGCTCCGCGGGATGAAAAACAAGAATGAACGGAGGAGAAGGGGGTGCATGGGTGGATGGAAACAGACAAAGCTTTTCAAGCGAGAGACAAGTCCCCGCCACCACACCTCTTGACAAGAAAAAACACGATCCCCATCACCCCCCTCTCCCCGAACGCTTCACCCGCTGCCGTGTCGTGACAGGGCAACCCGCCCTGCCCCGGTCTGCCTACCTTGGGGGTCCCTCTTGCACACCGTTCTCTTGTCGAGCTTAGGCTGCAGGAGCATGGCAACCGCACACACGCCCGCCCCTTATCTCGCCGGCACTATTTCCCCCCCTCTCTTCGTAAGACCACGGAGGAAACTCGTTCAACAGTAGTGCCATTGTTACACAAGAGACTCAGGTGGTAAAACCCCATGCCCATCGTACCCCATGACACCCTCCCCCGGTGTACGGACATATATATCTACTGTACCTCGACGCAGCGCCGCGCGCCCGTGCAGACGATGAGCACCGACGGGCTTCCTCTGGGGGCGTTGCTGTTTCTGTTCTGTATTCTCTTCTTCCAGTCTGGGAGGGACGCTGCGATTGTGGACGACGATGGGGGGAAGGAAGGAAGGCGGGGGCAGAAAAAAAGTTGGTGGGAAGGGTCGGGGCCAATTCGGGTTCGTATGCCTCGAAAGGAAAAACACACACACACACACACACACACATACCCACACAGAGGTGGAGAGACAGACAAGCGTTCAGACAGCATTTTATCACCATCCGCATGTCCTACAAAAAAAACAAGAGCACAGCGCCCAGGTGTTGCATTCACAGCACGCTTACCGGTGGTCCGTCCAGGCACAGAGAGAGCGAGAACGCACATGAACAAAAGAGCCGAGAAACAAATACACGGTCACATTGTCTGCTATCGGGGGAGTCCGCGGACAATACTGCAGCCAGCGTATTTGGGCTACAGCAGTAGTTTTACCGCTAAAACACAGCACTACTGGCGTACGTTTCACATCGGTCCCCTGGTTTGTTGGTTTGTAGCGCCGTCGACCGCCAACAAAAGAAACACGTACACACGCGCGCGCCCGCGCATTTTCCTGCTTTCAGCCGCACTGAGACTGATGTCTGTTCACATTGTCACCCAGATTGCAGCGCGGTTGATGCTGACAGTTAAGACACACACATACAGTAGCAGCAACACAGAGCAGAGCAAAGCAAAGCAGGCAGAGCAAGAAAAAGCGCACCCTTGATGAACCCGACGAGCTTCATAGCGGTGTGCGCCCCGAACCCTTCGACCCGAGCAAGCGACCCAGCGGTGATCCACGGAAAGTCGAGCTCTAGCGGGGTCACCAGATCCCCCCGGACCTTGCAAAACCTGGCCCACAGCTCTTCGGCCTCCTCCTCGACGGTGTTGGTCACCGCTGCCGCCGTTTTTGCCCCCCGTTCCCCCCCATCTCCGGTTTTGGTCGCCGCCGCCGACGCCGGCGATTCCTCCTGGGATCTTTGTTTCTTTTTCTCCTTCAACTTCGCCTTCGGGTGAGTCGTTGGCAAGCGTAGACGAAAAAGACGAACAGCTGAGTGACACGGAAGGCAACAGCAGAAGCAGTGGCAACTGGGGTAAAATGTTCGTTTGTAGTGATGAGAGAAAGCGCAGCAGCAGGCCGCGGCGGTAGGTGGAGCATATTCATTTGAAGCGATAGGAGAAAGAGAGATTTCACCCGCTACCGTCGCATCCTTTGCTCGCCCAATCACGTGATTACGAATGAGATTAATGCGTGCAAAAGAAGAGCTTGGGCAGCGGCGGCAGCGGCGGCGGCGTCTGGGGGCGACTAACATCCCCCTGCGGCTTCGGTGCAGTCGAAGGCCGCGACATACCACAACTTTACCTTGAACAAACCACAACTTTACCTTGAACAAACCACAACTTTACCTTGAACGCCTTTAGCTTCTGCTTCTTCTTCTCTGCGCGCCTGAGCCTCGCCTCTTCCTCCTCTGCCGCCTTCAGCCTAGACTCCTCGTCCTGCTCCTCCTCGTCCTGATCCTCCTCCCCGTCGCCGTCGCTGCTGTCCGTCTCCTCGAAGCCCTCTGGGCTGAGCTGGGACCTGCCGCGCTTACGCCCGGCGAGAGTGGTTGTGGTGGTGCTGCTGTCGTCATTCTTCTTCTTGTTGTTGGCCTTGTTTTTCTTCTTGGTTGCTGTCTTGGGCGCGACTGCTGCCGAAAGGCCGTGAGAAAGGGGTGGAGGGAGCGGGTGAAGAGAGAGGGAGAGAGCGAGAGGGAGAAGGGGGGGGGGGGTAGGGATCGAGGTGCAATGAAGACAGGGTGTTTGAGCTAATGCCTACCATCCACCACTTTCACAAAGGTCATAAGCAGGCATTAACTTCCTGTGTGTGAACAGGCAATACTGCTGTTTGTGCGCGGGAATCCTCCTCACCTCAAGTTCCAAGTTACAGCTGTTCAGCGTGGAAGAAATGAGAAGCTTGGGCAACAACGACTACTATGTACATATGCATACATCGATCTACTCCGCAATATAATGCCATCGGTTTACAAGCCAGGAGTGCATCCAAGAGACTCGCACAGCAGGGGCACAGGGAAAGACTGCATCACCGAATCATAGTTGGCGCTAGACACTGTCACACCTAGTCTCTACGTTGCCTGGTGTGTCAAGGTTGCAGCTCTGACGGTACTGCATGTCTTGGTCGCCATGCGGCCAAAGTAAGACGATGAGTTGTGTGGTGGTCGGGGATGTGGTGTACAGCACTGGCGTGGAAATCTCTCCTACGTACACATTGTACACATCGGCATCAATGAAGGGGTTTATGTATAGAACGAGATGCTCGAGACAGAGACGCTTGAAAGGGGTGGCCGTTCAACACTTATGGGACGGCTGTTAACTGGGAGCTCTGCTGTCGTTGGCCACAGCCAACGCCCACAGCGACAGCAGGGAGAGCCGCGCAGTGCAGTACAGCAGTACAGGAGAGGAGTTGCACCGCATTTTCGTGGTCAAGGTGTATTTATAGGCATCATCACCCACCGCCGTCGTCTTACCCGCAGCGGCCGCCGCCGTGGAGGTGCCTTCATCGCCGGAGTCAAGCCCTTCCACCCCCCAATCATCACCGAGGTCGTCTCCCATAATGCCGCTCGAGCTCTCCCACGCCACAGCAGCTGCTACTGCTTTGTGGGTGCCGGGTGCGGGGTTGGACGCACACATGAGGAGGCGTTCAACAAGCGGGGCTGCCAAGATTATTCGGCGGCAGGGCAGCAGGCAGCAGCAGCAGCAGCAGCAGCAGCAGCAGTCATCCCTTCTTGCCACACCACAGGAGAGCTTCAAGAAGAGCTCACATAGCAGGCATGGACAGCAGAACCGTGGGAGTCCTCGGGGGCGGCCAGCTGGGCCGCATGATGGCCGAGGCTGGGCACCGCCTGGGCGTGAAGGTGGCGGTCCTGGATCCTCTGGGCACGGCTTCGCCGGCCGGGCAAGTGGCGGAGCTGGCCGTCGAGGGCAGCTTTCGCGATGCGGACAAGATCAAGTGAGACACGCGCAGCAGCAGAGGGTACACGGGGGAAGAAGAGGACGCGGTCTTTCGTTTCTCGCAGCGTGCACTGGGGCAGTGGTCATGGCAGCGTCTACATACAGGCTTTACTTCATGTTTGCACCCTGCCCCTGGTGCCAAATGGTTTTTAAAAACTGTCGCGTGTGGGACGGTGCGTCCACAGTGTTGTAGCCACGGCAGGTGTCGAGGGTTCGCACGAGACAAGCATCGCAGAGTCTGTTGTTCGGCACCCTGGATATACTTGCCCAGGTGCTTCTCATGGAACCACACAGATGGTGGCGTTGCTCTGCCATAAATGCCCTCTGTAGTCTGTGTATCCATACCAGATACCCCCCGAATACTTGCTGATTGCTTCCGCCGCGCGTCGTGAGCGCTTGAAGCACACACACGCAACATGCAACATGCAACATGCCGGACTGCTGCTGTAATACAGGCAGACTCACATCCACAGATACATAGATGGCGCCACCACTCAACGTGGAGCCTGAGAATAGTGAGCCTCTAGTTTTGTCGCCCCTGATGTCTAATGTAGCCGATGTACGTGCGTCATTACATGAGGCCTACTTTTACACGACAGCAGGTAGTAGGTGTGCTGTGTCTACAATATACAATACATCCCAGCAATAGGTGTGCTGTGTCCACAATATACAATACATCCCAGCACTCTGCTTCCGTTTGTATGCATATGTAGCCCCCGTACAAATGCATCCCTCGTACAAACCCATGTTCACACGCATTCTAGATAGATATAGGACATCGCACTCAAGACGCGTGTGGCATGTTTTTCAGCGCAACACAAGTTGCCTTGTACATCTTCTACCTCCCCCAACGGCACACAGCAGCCCGGCACACAAGATGGCCAAGAAACTATCTTGTTGAGCCTGTTGCCCACAGAGGGGGAGACAGACGTGACTGCTGCATGTTGCTCTAGGATGGTGTATGTAATCATTTTGTGATATGGGTGTGGTTATTTTTATTAATTATTTTTCAGGTTTGGGGAGTACATAAAGTATTTTTCAGGTTTGGGGAGTAAATATTTTATGGCGTGTGTTTATTTGATTAATTAATTATTTTTGGTATGGGGAATGTTTTTGGTTTTGGCGAGACGATATCAACACATCGGCAGGCCATGACATGACACTTCTAGTCCATGGCGAAGCTTTTCCCAAGCTGTAAATTTGTACGTACGTACAGAGAATGGAGGACGCATCTGCAAGAACGTGACAAAACAATACCACTGTCTTTTAAAAAAGAAATACAAAACAGCAGTACTACAATATAGTAATGTAGTAATATTATTCTACAAGGCGGAAGAGCTGCGGTGATCCCCAACGGTGCTCCTTGCACGCGGCGGGAAAGCCTGAACCCGAGCCTCTGGGCGACAAGAAGACGTTCGCGAGGGGTGGCTCTACAGAAACTGCACACAAGGTGCCCTTTTACCACATGTGTGAAGTTTAGCGCCGTGCGCACTATTAAGATGCACACAGCTCGGTGGTAACAACCCGCGACGGTGGAACGACGCTCCGAAATCACGTCGTGGTGGCCTCCAAGGTAGGAGGATGCGCCTATTCAAAGCACGTTCGGTCAACACTGCTACATAGCGCACCTTTCCAAGCCCAGTTGTTTTTTTCTCCCCCTCAGCCAGAGAACACGATCGACCTCACCGCGTACAGCTAAAGTGGACGGACAAGCGCGTCCCGTTGGGCGACATGACACAAGATATCACACCCCCTGGACCGATTTTCAAAAGCTGGATTACTCCACAGCAACGGTGCCGAAAATGGCGACGTCGGAACCGTCTCATTTAGAGCTTTCCGGAAACTCACCACCTGACTGCTGTGGCACCATATTCATCGTGGAGAAATTGAGCTAGTAGTATGATCGGTCCAGGGGGTGTGATAACGTACGTCACCTAGGGGTAGGTATCCCGGTCCACCTTCGTCGCGACGGACACGAAAACAGTTGCGGGAGAGGGAGAAAGTGAACGCGTAAATGGCTTGTTACCCCCCCCTCCCCCGGCATATCGCTCCGTCCCTACATTGTAGGGGTGCAAAGTCAATCGTCTAACGACTGCGGCAAGCGCTTCCACGATTACACCCCCCCCATCAACCTCGTCCCCACTCTCATCCTTTACAAGAGAGAGG